CCACCATCCACACTACATTCTCTGACAGCTCTCCTCCACCATCCACACTACATTCTCTGACAGCTCTCCCCCCACCATCCACACTACATTCTCTGACAGCTCTCTTCCCACCATCCACACTACATTCTCTGACAGCTCTCCCCCTACCATCCACACTGCATTCTCTGACACCTCTCCTCCACCATCCACACTACATTCTCTGACACCTCTCCTCCACACTACATTCTCTGACACCTCTCCTCCACCATCCACACTACATTCTCTGACATCTCTCCCCCACCATCCACACTACATTCTGATCCTTTTGCTAAAGCCATTCAATAAAAATATCTGATTGGAGGTGGGGTCATAATAGAAGATTTGTCATATCTCGAAGCTGCAGCCTACGGGAATTTCTTTAATCCCACAAATGATGGAATTCCTTCTCATCTCTTTTGCATCTAGCTGGGCATCCGAATCCTTGCCTTACCTGTGTTTCTCTGTAACTCCCTCTTACCACAATCTGTATCTGGCCAAATATATGCCACTTTTTCAGCACCTTTATTTGCTCCTCTCTTCTTGTGAAGAATTTGGGAAACTTGTCTTAGCGGCACACCAGGGGTAAAAATTTGTTGCCAAAATTTTACCCGAGTCTTTCTGGTCTACATTCTGCATCTGTCAAAATTCAAGGTGACCTTAGCCTCCCACTCTTTCACAATTACTATCATGCAGCGCAGCTTGCCCAAATATCTCTTTGACACCCTGCTCAGTGGATGCCTCTCTGGGTACCTGTTCAGCCATATTTGTGTTCCCCAGTTTAGATCAATAGCCTTCTATGGGTGTCACCGAAACATCACGCCTCTGTCACCTGTCAAGTTACTAGACTGTTCTGCCTCTCCAATCTAAGCATTGAAAGTGTGATCTCTATAACTTACAGTTGTGGCAAGATAGCGACAACCAACAATCTTAGCTGCGTTGGCAGACAGTGACTCCATCCAGAAGACACCTTGAAGATCTCTGAGAAGTATAAACCAAAACTGTGAGGATCTTACAACAGTGAACATCGGAGAGGTCAGAAGATCATAATGTGATCCACTCAACGAAATGACACGTGGCTGAGATGTAAACTGGACCAGAATGAGGAAGGGAGGAGCTATCTATACAGAGGAACACTGAGCTATGGGGAGCGGAGGAGAGGAACACCGGGAACAGATGAAACACATACAATATTTAAAGACCCATCACAATGCATGTGACACATGACAATGACATTATGACAATGCTTGACTGATGGATTCGTCGATTTCGTCCCTCTGTTACAACCCCAATAAACACACAGACTGCGCGAAATGGATTTTAATGACCACAGCAGCCCTTTTATTAAACAAACCAACTTTAACAAAAACCAAAAGTAATAAACCAAAAAATATACAAAATAAATACTCTAAACGACTGTTGACCTGAGAAGGGGGTCTTTGGGTGCCCAACAGCCCAAATAAGGCCTCTCCTAAAAAACTGCTCCCATGCCCCCAGCCGCACCCCAACCAGCTCGAGGACAATTACTACTCCCACGTTCCAAGAGGCCAGACCCTGCCCCCTACAAATCCTTACTCCAGCGGGAGGAAGCACCTATACTAGCCAATGGCCCCCCATTTGTGTAATTGTCTCTGAATTTTTTTAGACCCCCCCAAAGACCCCCTAACCAGCCAAGCTGCCGGGACAGAAAAAGAACCCTGCAACCAGCAGAACCACGCAATTCAGGGAGGGAGGGGCAACCTGCTTCCTCCATCGATTTTCCAGAAAGAACGCCCCTCAGCCCTTTGCGGTTCCTACCCATGTTGTTCCTCCCGGGCAGCTAATAAGTACTATCCTTGTCGCACTCCTTACCGATATGTCCCTTGTAGTGGGGGGTGCTCGCAGTGACCGCGGAAGGCGCCGCGAATGTCAGCAAAATTGTAGAAATGTCACCAGCACACCAATCCTTTTAAGATAGCAATAAATGAATCTTTTGCTATCTTCAAAGGATTGGTGTGATGGTGACATTTCTACAATTTTCCTTCGGGGCAGCCGACCCCAACGTCCAATCAGGTCAGAACAGCTTTTCCCATTTTATTTTCAACCACTTCCCCCCGGACTATTCCCCTCCCCCCATCATATAGCTCCTCCGCTCAGTCTCTCTGGATCCATCTTTAAAATGATTACCATCGAGGTAAGGAGAATCCTTCTTCCTGATGACCACCCTTTTTCTTTTATACCCTACAGTTGTTCTATGGACTATCTTACAATTGTTCTATGCACTAAACAGTTCCACCTGTGAAAAGCCATCGTACATTTGTCATAAGAACCAGCTGGCGCTGTCTATTTAGACTTCTTTTCCCGCACTCAGTGAGGACACTCCTCAGTATGTTTCTCTGTGAAAGATTTGCTGTAGTCTCAACATGAATAAGAACGCTCATGTGTGTGAATTCTCTGGTGTATAACAAGGTATCTTTTCTGAGTGAAAGATTTCCCGCACTCTGAACATGAATAAGGACGCTCACCCGTGTGAATTCTCTGGTGTATAACAAGGTATTTTTTCTGAGTGAATGATTTCCCGCACTCTGAACATGAATAAGGACGCTCACCAGTGTGAATTCTCTGGTGTTTAACAAGGACTCCTTTCTCAGTGAAAGATTTCCCGCACTCTGAACATGAATAAGAACGCTCACCTGTGTGAATTTTATGGTGTCTAACAAGGTGTTTTTTCTCAGTGAAAGATTTCCCGCACTCTGAACATGAATAAGGACGCTCACCTGTGTGAATTTTATGGTGGTTAACAAGGGTTTGTTTCCGAGTGAAAGATTTCCCGCACTCTGAACATGAATAAGGACGCTCACCAGTGTGAATTCTCTGGTGTATAACAAGGTATCTTTTCTCAGTGAATGATTTCCCGCACTCTGAACATGATTGAGGACGCTCATCAGTGTGAATTATCTGGTGTATAACAAGGTATCTTTTCTCAGTGAATGATTTCCCGCACTCTGAACATGAATAAGGACGCTCACCAGTGTGAATTCTCTGGTGTTTAACAAGGGCTCCTTTATGAGAGAACGATTTCCCGCACTCTGAACATGAATAAGGACGCTCACCAGTGTGAATTCTCTGGTGCATAACAAGGGTTGCTTTCCGAGTGAAACATTTCCCGCACTCTGAACATGAATAAGGACACTCACCAGTGTGAATTCTCTGGTGTATAACAAGGTCTCCTTTCTTAGTGAAATATTTCCCGCACTCTGAACACGAATGAGGACGCTCATCAGTGTGAATTCTCTGATGTATAACAAGGTATGTTTTCTCAGTGAATGATTTACCGCACTCTGAACATGAATAAGGATGCTCACCAGTATGAATTCTCTGGTGTATAACAAGGGTTGCTTTCCGAGTGAAATATTTCCCGCACTCTGAACATGAATAAGGATGCTCACCAGTGTGAATTCTCTGGTGTGTAACAAGTTCTCCTTTTTCAGTGAATGATTTCCCGCACTCTGAACATGAATAAGGACGCTCACCAGTGTGAATTCTCTGGTGTTTAACAAGGGCTCCTTTATGAGAGAATGATTTCCCGCACACTAAACATAAATAAGGTTGCACACCTGTGTGAATTTTCTGGTGTTTAACAAGTTGATATTTATAACTGAATGATTTCCTGCACTCTGAACAAGAAAAAGGACGTTCACCTGTGTGAATTCTCTGGTGTAGAACAAGGTCTCCTTTTTGAATGAATGATTTCCCGCACTCTAAACATGAATAAGGACGTTCACCTGTGTGAATTCTCTGGTGTAGAACAAGGTCTCCTTTTTGAATGAATGATTTCCCGCACTCTAAACATGAATAAGGACGTTCACCTGTGTGAATTCTCTGGTGTATAACAAGGTGTCCTTTGCGAATGAAACATTTTCCACACTTTGGACATGAATAGGGTCGCTCATCCATGTTCATACTTTGGTGTCTATGAAGGTTCTTGTTTTCAATTAAAGATTTCCCACACACTGCATGTGAGAAAAGATTTTCACCTCTGTGATCTCCTTCATGGGGTGAGGAAGGTTCCTTGGGATTAGATGGATCTCTTGCAGTGTGAGATCTTAGACGGATATTTCCAGTCATAATATGTGAATGATCAGAAGATTCACCCTGATCAGAGGGATCCATTGATGTCTCCGAGCAGTGAGGTCTGTGATGTATATTCTGTGTGTTTGGATTCACTCCTGGAGAATCCTGTGTGATGACATTATCTTCTGACTTACAACCACCAGACAATATAAGATGTCTCTCCGAGGTATTCCTGACATCACATCCATCTGCCGGAGAGAAATTATTACACACGTCAGTAATCAGAGTCATGTATGTTGGTCTAGAAGTCATCACAGAGCTCTGGCATGGAATTGGGTACAACGTAACACGACATGTAAAAACAAATGAGTTAAAGGATAAAACACCCAAAACAACTCTGACACACTGGGCAAAATAGTTCTGTGAATTAATCACGGCTATGGAGAAGAAGAGAGATGGACCTTCATATGGTGTACAGTATCTCCTCATTTGTTGGTCACATGACGTTATATTGGGGAATGGAGATGGACCTTCATATGGTGTACAGTATCTCCTCCTCATTTGTTGGTCACATGACGTTATATTGAGGGATGGAGATGGACCTTCATATTGTGTACTCCGCCTCCTCCCCTGGAACTACTGGAGTAAAGGATTAAACAAGGAGTCAAAAAGTCAATTTTTCTCCCCATTGTTGTTTGGGGGACACAGCGTCTGACCTCAATCAAAAAGTAGTCCCTTAAAATGAGGAGGAAAAAGAAAAACCCAAAAGATAACCCTCAGATATCACTGTGTGACGGAATCTCACTGATGCCTGTAGGAACCTTCCTCCAAAGTGGCATTGGACGTTGCTGTTATAAACCCCTGAACCTCCGCCTGAACTAAAGGTGATCACCTCGCATACCTAGGAGACAGATGCCTGATGGGAAAAGGATGTAAGATGAGTTTATGGATCCAGTGTGATAGTCTCACAGGATGCTGGAGATCTCACAGCCAGAGCAGAGGGGGAGAGAGCTCATTGGTCACTGTCACAGGATCAAGGACTGGGTGACTATTTTATTATAGACCTCAGACCAAATTGAACACTTAACCCTTGCAGCACGGGGGTAACTCCACTACAAGGGTTAGTTTGTCATTTGCCCATAGTTCTTCTTACAGATTTTTCAGTCCAATGTTTTTGGATGTAAACCATCATTCCTCCATGACAATGGACCCAACATGTGTATGTAGAACATTTGATGAGAGTTTATTTGCTGTAAATGACCCCCAACCGTCCTAACACTAATCAGGAGATGACGACCCCTTCATCCTACAATAGGGGAGATGACTTCTTCTGGGGAATCTTCTTCACAACTTTGATGGTCTGCCATTTATAATTCAGTCTCATCTTATCTGATGATGTAAAGATCTGATAATTCTCCAACACGATCCCTTAAACGTCGCACCTTCTACTCAGAAGTGACATAGAACTGTGACCTGTTCCCTCCATAGTGTCTGTTACTTACTTGTGTTGATCGGTAGAGAAATGTCATCCTGATCACTTTTCATCATCATCCCGACCTCCTGCGTGGACGGCCGGTCACCCCCCACATACGTCTCCACTTCCTCCTCTTTAACCTCAGCTTTTATATTGATCCGTTCTTCACCCTAAACCCCAAAATAATAGAAAACATCTCATAAAGCTGAACTCCGGGGAGATAGAAAAGACACAAATGAATGCGGCTCTGTATATGTTTTTTAATGCAAACATTGTTAGTACCTGAATGTGACCTGGTGTCAGGTTCCTGCAGTCCCTGTACAGCAAAGCTTAGACTGGGAGAGAGAGAAACAGTCTGCTGCTTCTCATTTTACTGTCCAGTCAAAGACTGGGGGAGGGACAAGACCTGTACGTGTAAGTGACCTACAGCAGAGAAATATCAGGTCTCCTGCTCTGCCCATTTGAGGGCAGGTCTCCTTCCTATTTCCTCTGAGCCCGGGAGCCAAGGACCCTCACCTTGAGGGCGCTTCATCACCCCAGCATGGACTCACAGAAGCAAAGAACAGCACCACATATTTCAGCATGTGCCCTTTGGAAATCACAAGGACGGAGCCTATCTATGATGTCACATGGCTGGACCCAAGACCCATGGAAGAAAATTTTGTTTATACATTTTAAAAAAATAATAAAAGTGGAGGGTGGAGCAAGGGGAAGCTGAAATGGAGAGGGTGGAATGGGTGGGAGGCTACATTTCAGATATAAATATTAAACCAACAGACTACATAGAAGAATGTTGTCTCACAAAGTTCACTATCACTTCTGTGTTCTATACACCGAGTCCCACCTACCTGATCATGGTGGGGGATGATGAGATCTTACAACAAAAAACGGGGAAATGGAGTAGCCTTTTTTCAGTATAGAACACATATACCAATCTGCAGGGTTTCAAATAATTATTCAAA